TGATTTTGAATTTGATTATCCATGGCCCAAGTTAAATTCAAAATCTTCCCAAAAGCAGTTTGACCCTAATTATTGCGTTTCAAATACATATAAAAGCCTCACTGCCAGATCCTTAAGCTCAGGGTGCCGACTGCAAACGACATCTCCTCAAAAGGTTAGCCCTGTTCACGATATTTTTATAGACTGCTTTACCTTGAGTTTCACTATGCAATTTGAAATGGGATTAGGACGAATTGTTTCGAAAATAGGTTTCGATTTACAGGCTCTGAAGAAGGCAATACTGCCGAAACGTCGGTCGAGTAAAGGATTTGTAACAATCTCGGATTGCTAAAAAACTTCTTTGAATATTGCTGTCGTCATGCCGAGATTAATGGAGAGTCGATCATGGATGGTCCAACGTATTTCTAAAAATTCAGATACGTTCGTGCATCTGCACTCAAAGCAGGTCAGCGACTCATTGCTCAGTATTGTTCGCATGCCCGACGTCTGCTTCTGCCGCAGTTACAAAGCGCTCTTCACGATGAGAACTGGAGAATTCGCCACGCCTCAGTGACGCTGATAGGAGACTTCCTCTTCACTATATCAGGTTGGTTATCGACTGTTATATGAATTTGGTGGAGAATTTCTTCAAAGTATACAAAGACTTCTTCCAGGTGTATCGGGCAAGAGCACATCGTCAACTGCTAACGAAGATGACACGATGGGTATGGAACATGCAGGCAAAAGCATTGTGCGAGCTCTTGGACAACAGTGTCGTGACAGTGTTCTGGCAGGTTTATATCTAGCCAGGTTGGTATTTGTGAAGTACATTTTGCGTAGTACGGCTTGGTGGGGCCACCAAATGATACCTATCAAACCTAGCTCAGGCCTTCTTGTGAAAAGCTGCAAGTTCTTGTAATCAAAGTAACTCACTTGCAACATTTCTTAGCTTCACAGGAAATACAGGTCTCTCCAAAATACAACCTTTCAATTAACAAGGGCTAGCAAAAGGTTGCAGTGAAAGTGCAAAAGTGATAGGACGGATGGCCCATACTTTTTACCAAATGTTTTTACAGTTTTTAGTTTTTATTTTTACATTTGCAGGTCAGATGTTGCTTTGATTGTTCGTCAAGCAGCTGGCCACGTTTGGAAGATTGTGGTGGCAAACACTCCACGTACTCTGAAGGAAATTATGAAAGTTCTTTTCGAAATGGTGAGCAGTTTCAATTATTCATTGATTTATAAACAGAAATATTTCACTTTTTGATAGCAGACAGGGTTACGCTTTTGACTTCCAAGCCCCAACTTTCTGACCACGGCGGCTCAGCTACCTTATGCTTAAGCACGAGTAGGACGGGTAGGAAAGAAGGCTCGAGATGTTTCTTGTGTCGCAACTCTAATTGAGTGAATAATTTCTGAAAATTTGAAACCCGTTAGCTTTTTTGCCCACCTTTTTTATTCTTTGCTTGTAAACGATTGTTATTTCCACTCCGCAATATGACTGGAAACATCAGGTCTAGGAAAAGGACTAAACGATTATGATGATTTTGCCGTGTTTAGGTTGTTGACTCATTGGCTTCTACGTGTGAAGAGCGCCAACAGATGGGTGCAAGATGTCTAGGAGAGTTAGTACGTAAAATGGGTGAAAAGATCATCAACGAGGTAAGCACTTGCAAGCCACACTTCAAAAGTCAGTAAGTTCAAAGACATATTCCGCGATTACATAATAGATGAAATCCTCTCGTACTGAGTTACTCTGCCCTGAGTCGCCAACATCTTACCCTTTTTGGTGGCTCGAGAGTTATTAAGGAGGGTGTGTCATACTAACTTCGCCCACCAGTTCTACCCAGAGACAAACTGCGTTGAATTCATGGCGTGCTGTATTGGTCGTTTTTCTCTTTTTTTCGCCCTTTGCCTCCGTTTCTCATTTACGCTAACAATGCCCTTAGTTTTCACTTTTCGTCCAGTGCTCGGAACGAGTTTCAAGAAGAGGATTCAGGGCCTTTATAACGGCTCCCACTTTTTCATTGAGAAGTCAACTAGCATCTACAAATCCAAGTTGACCCATTATCAGCATTTGGAATCGCGGAATGTAAACCGTATGGAAACTGTATTCTTTTAAGATGTAGCTATTTCTTTCAAGATCCTCCCTATATTGGAACAAAACCAGAAGTCTGACGATCTTGAGAAACGAGTGGGAGTAGCGATAGCCTTACACGAAATAATGGACAACATCACAAAGGTACGGGACCCGTCAACTCTTTTTTCAGTTCTTTTTTAGGTTTGAATTCTTACATTTTGCACAGCTTAAATAGGTGAAGTCAGCTTCGCTGGCTTGTTTACGTATGAAGTTTTGGAGTCTTTAGTCCCGATGTGGGTTAATTCAGGATGTTCTCAGTCATTACCTGGAGAATTTGGTGACTCCTGTTCGAAACGGCATTTGTGACTCTTCACCTGTCGTCAGATCAGCAGCTGCTGACACTTTCTCGGTTCTTTACCAGGTTCGTGAGTGAGCTATTGTGAAAAAAGGCGCTGTTCGGCTTGGAGGGCCATTTTGCACATTCGTTTGTTCCTTTTG